TTCAATGCATGGGGATTCTTGTATGTGGTTCTGGCGTTTAGGTCAGTGTTCCACAGCCGGTTTGTCGCAGCACACTGGTGTGCCACCACAAGGTTTAAGGTGTGCCTCGAATTTTTGTGACACATTACATATTTTCACGTTGTAGTTGGACTAAAGCAATATATTGTCTTTCGTAATCAGAATTCGTAACACGCACACAGGTTCATCATCGATAGATTCATCCAATATGTTCGATATTATGTTTTTATATGCTTGAACACTTATAGGGCAAGTATTTATATATAGATTCACATATGTGGCCATGTATTGTTTCGTACCTCCTTTTCGTAAAGCGACATTTTGTTGTGTGCCGCCATACGTCTTAGGAATTACGCTGTGACGCGGGCGAAAAAAATAGTGGAACATTGATTTAGGTACAGGAAGTCGGCCTTTGTGGATTATTTGTACATGTTTTAAGTGAATGCGCGATGCTAAATTTATCGTCCATCTGCTTGTTTCATCTCTCGAACTGATTTATGTTAAGTTTTGGTAGTCCTTTTGGACTTACGCGATAAACGTTTTTTGCAGTGTTGTGTGGTTTGTTTCTTTCCTATATAATGTATTTTTAACGTGAGTCTGAAATCAGACTTATCCATTTTATCCATAATAAACTATGGTAAGATAATATCCGTCTGGTGTCAATTGTACGTCATTAAGGTCTGAAATTCTGTCTAAAACTGCTTACGATACGGTATGTCGCTCTATTCAGGGATATACAAGGAAAACTAATTTGTAGCCCTCGCTATTGATTAGTTTCTTCGACCATGCTGTTTATCTGTAATAAACTGCAAAGACCAAGTGGTATATAAAGTCTCGTATAACGTGAATGCGAATCGAATGTACCTTTAAGTGAAGCACACATTTACCTTTTTATCGACTATGATCTTCTGGATTGTGACGCATTGTAGTCTTGTAGGTAGTTACCTGCGTTTTGGAAGAGTATTGCTCCCGTGTTCAGGGCAAATAATTCTTTAGAAATGTTAGACACCTCCTACAATACTAAACGACGTCATAATATCACCGGAAACCACAGTCATCTCCACCGCCGTTAGAACCTAAGATCTAAGATTTCAGCGGTATTTTGAATTCCAAAAATGTTGAGGCTGAAAAATTTGCTGTGTGATGTATAGGCCTATACGCGAAGACAAATATCTAAATTAGGTTCGTAGATGAAGTGTTTTTATTTAAATACTTGAAATTCAATATATTATTCTTTGTGCTCCAATGTCTGAATACGTTTCCCCATTTTTATATTTCCAATTGTGTCTTCGCGATAGATTGATTCATAATCTCTAAATCTAAGGAGTATAAGAATTTTGTAGATATTACCCGATTGTTATAGTCGAGACTGTTAATATTTACTTGAATTCTTTTTGTATGATGTGGGAGATTGTAAGTGACGTAATTAAAATAATAATAGCAACACATGCATACAAGACACTCACATAGTTGAAGCTCAGATTATTAGGCTAATCATGTCACGTAAAGTTTTAAGGCAGAGTAAGAAAAGTTTGAGGATTCTGATGCGCGTGGTATTTTGCATTTCTCGTGTTAATATACTCGTCATTTAACTATGAGTCTCATTTAAACTTGCCACTGTCATTTTCAAGCACGCCTGGCATGAAATCTTAAATTAACGCTAGATAACTTCGTTGAAACTTACTTGTTCGTATTTATCTTTACCCAGACTCTCCGTCCTCGTGTCACAAATGCCCTGTTGTGTGAGAGATTGCATTCAGCTCGTGTTAGATCATGTGCAGGCTTCCCTTCATTTGTCTGCAGTGGCAATAATAGTAGCGGCAGATTGCCGAAACCGTTGACGCATTGTTGCTCTACTCCAGACCCGTGATTATCGAGGATTGTATTAAAACAAAACTTCATTTCGGACAGAGTCCCAGGGCGCTTTCACTAGCTCCGTGTAATTTAACTTCGTGCATACGAAAACCGTTCGTCGCCGACCCCCATGGCCGTCCGATTTAAGACGCGATATCATCTTGGAGCATGCTTATTTGGGGTTTCCTGTGATGTCTTTCTTTTAGGACTGAAACAAACGCAGTAAAGCAATTATTTACTCAAAAAAATTACAACAAACAATGTAAACAAACCCTGTGGAGGTCCAAACGCGTACAAATGGGCGTCACTAATAGGCTGACGTCTGCTGAGTCCACTCACGATCGCTCAGATTGACCGATGTTGTCGACAGCTTAATTTCTTAAGCAGTTCCTGATTTGGGGGGAAAAATCTTTATATGAGTTCTATAGCAAGCTCATATTCGGTGAAAAGTGCAATTTATATTTACCATGTGTGCTAAGTGTATGTATGACCTGTTTTAACAACCTGTAACTCTGCATTTTTTTACAGCGATGATTCCTTATTTCCGTAAACGTCTATAATAATTTGATATTTGTAATTTTGAAACCTGGTGTTATATTTGCAGTACGGATAGAATTTATTATATAGTTTTAAAAGTTGTTAAATTCAATCCTGCGAATACACTCCTACGTGCAACGCTCTGTTGCGGCTGGAAGTAGCATCTGCCCTGCAGACACCCCAATCAAGTGTGTCAAAAATAGCTCCCACCCGCTTTTCGGCGCACTTGAGGGCAAGCAGAGTCTGGCGCGATGGTTATCAGGCGCGCGGAGTGTAGAATGCTCCGGAGGCATATTTATAAATGCATAGCTGTGCCTGTACTTCAAATAATTTGAATTATTAAGTTCACTGTACTTATCATGCATGATATTTCCTGTGGGCTCCACCAGTGATGTGCCTCAGCTGCATTCAGGAGTTATCCGATTTGAATCACAGGTACAGCACGAGGTATCCTTGGTTATCCTCACTTACCGCTGGCTAATTTCGGGATAGGACAGCAAACTTCAACCGCCGGGTACCATTTACGTGTTTCAGACATGCGCCGTTTTCCACTTCTGTCTAGTTTTGTCAACTGCTGTTATTGGTTTTATAAATCCGAGTTGTTGTTTTTTTGTGTACGCGCCAAGTAGTCGGTCGATTTTTCTAAACAGTCTACACATGACAGCTTTTTTATTGTTACGATGGGGTGAGAATGTGTCTCTGTGGAACTGGTCCATTGTCCATCCCCCAGATGATAGACAAGTTAATGTGAGGCGTTTGTTAAATGATATTGACAGCGGACAAAAGAACTCGGAAGGAAGCCTGTAGTAGTTCCATCTTGTCTAGAATAAATCGCTCGTGGACTGCCCTAGGTGCGAACCAGGGCATCCGCGATGGAGATACCGGCTACTGACCACCTGTGCTATGTGACTGCCAGATGAGCCCCTGGTAACATGTTGTCTTCATAAATAATTGGTCATCTTTTTGTTCGGAGTTTATTTTTCAGCCATATTCCAAAATGATATTCTGAAAGAAAAGTTAAGCGGAAAAATTTAAATACTCTATGAAGTTTTTTAAACAACTCGGGCATCACTAATGAGCAAATATATGTGAGTAAACAGTCATTTAATAATTATTTTCCGTACGATTCTTGACTTTTGAGACGCCCTGCAAACGAAATGGTGAATCGCTTGCGGAAGTGTTAGCAGTCCTCAGAACACGAAATAATTTATTTTAATTTTATCAACTGTTTGCTTCACTCAGAATATCTGCCTTTTTTACAATCCTTGTTTACATCGTGCACGAGAACAATGTTAAATAAATAACAAATTCCGTGTATTCAAAGCTACTCGACGAATGCCGTTCATGTTTGTGGTGTAAATTAAAAAGTTGTCGCATTTACTGTTCTTTTGTTTCATTTTCTTTGATACGACTTATCGCAAAGAAGTCCTTGCCAAAGTTTTTGTAGCTAGACGGTGGTTTTTCATCCCGGATACACAGAGTTAGTCCTGGGTGACTTAAAGTGAGAGATTCTTAAATGAATGACACTGGAACAAGTTTTACTCGAGAGTTTTTCAGTTGTCGTGTAAACATTGTCTCATTCTGATCTATTACCGCCACGTGAGGTGTACGATAGTCTTGACCAACCAGCATATTTCCTATTCCGAGTTACGGGGATTCATTTCTCCCTAGTCTTTCATTGCAAAGAACAGGCTTGTATTGTATCTTTCTTCCGCGTAATGTTAGAGGTAAGTGTTGTGGCTGCGTGCGTGGTGCTAACTGCGCCTGCCGCACGCGCAACCCGCTTACAGCGCTTCCTTCTGTCGTCCGTCTGTATAGTACTCCTTCCAGTTCGGCCTCGCACGCCGCTCTGCCAGGCCCGCCTCTCCGGCGAGAGCTTACGTACAGCGGCAACTCCCCTTCTGTTTCGAAAACTTCCTCGGTTTCAGCTGTCGGCCGACGCGTTTCGCGTCGCTGTGTGCGGATTCTCGGTACTGTGTTCGTGTGTAGCACCAAGACTATATCAGTTTGCTGGTTTTCCATAATGATTGACCTTGGTAACTTTATTGTAAGCTCAATCACTGCTTTAATTCTGTGGCAGCGTGGCCTAAAGTTTACTATTCGTGGAATGTAATGAACACATACAGTGTGTGGCAATTTCTAGGTAATAAAACATGTACTTGTAAATACTTTATGCAGCGGGTGGAGGTGTTGTTCTGGAGTTTTATCCTTTGCGGCACCCCACCAGAACTGTTCAGTGAAGTGTAAAGCTCAATGGATGAACAAGCGGCAACTAGTAAAATCATTTCCACTCCCTCTGTCATCACTGGTGTTACTGCCGGCCCTTCGAGTGACAAACAGCACAAACCT